CTTACAGATTAAAATTTGTACGACTTTATATAGATGTATAATAAATGTAATAGATTAAATAACTATAAAATTGAAACACTTTTACAAAAAGAACAATGCGATACACGATATGGAATCAAATTTATTGAGAATGTTTATTACAAATTATATACATAGCGCATATAAATTATTATTCAATATTTTTATACCCAATTCGTCTTCCAATAATCTTGAGAAGAAGTTAACAAACCGAATATAGATCATGCAAAATATAAAATTATTTAACACATTCCCTTTACTATAAATAAATAAAAACAAATACGTATTAAGCGACACGTTGAAAATAGACATAGAAATATTATAACAGCTTAAATAAAATATCTTTGTTAATACAATACTTTTAAAAAACTAATTTTACAAAATTAACAATATATTTATGTTTTATAATGAACAAGAGTATTATAAATATAGATAATTTAAAACGCAGTTGCCCGATAAGAAGTTAATTGACAAATATGTTCGCAAAACAGTCATCATTATAATTTCGTACCATTTCGTTTCATGTTACATTAAAAAAGCAGTGTGAATAATTATTCATTAGATGACTCTTTTCTACACTGTACCGATTTAAATGATTCGTCCTTGTCAATACTTTTAAGAAACGAATCAATATCTTCATTATTCGTATCAGCAGAGAGAAAGTTGCTTGATGGTGACATATCAAAAGATTGTGATAATCATGTACAATATTTGAAAATTTTCTCAGAATTATATAACAATAACAATTACTGAATTAATCAATAATAATATAAATTCTTGTTTATACGAGTATGTAAAATGTTTTATGTGAAAAATAACTATTAAAGTACCAATAATAAATGATTTTAAAAAAATACTTAAATAGTATTTATAAAAAATATGGAAAATAAAAATTTCGCTCGGTCGCTTAATATGAAGATATTTAAAAAATTATGAGCTTGCAACACAATCGATACATTTATAAGTTTGTGTTATATCGCTTGAGGTTAAATAAAAAAAGAAGTGTTAATAATTACGCATATATTCAGTCCAATTATCTTTTTCAGTAAACTCCACAGTCCTATCGGTATTTAAATCGGAATCAACATTCTCAACGTCAGTTCTCGAAGTATTACAAGTTGGCTGCTGATTGCTGCTTAACGTTGAACTATCTACATTGTTTCCATCACCAAGAAAAAGATTGTGTACTATTTCTGTTACGCTGGAATAATTAACAGCACAATTCTATGAATTAGTTAAAGTTATAAAATCTTGCTTGTATCATGTGCATAATGCATAGTTATTGAATAGACACTATTGATATTAACTTTACGATTTTATTATATAAACACTTCTCGCTGTCAACTTGAAGTACATTCATATAAATGAAACATATATATAAATAGTATTAACATACGACCATTTATGATCGGTTCTTTAATATTATTAATATAAAACCTGTGATTCACGTTTTAAACTAAAATAAATATTTAATTAACTAAATTTTTACAAATTACAATTTCAAGAAATGCAACAGAGCAAATCTGGCTCGAAAGTATATTTTATTAAAATATTAACTAACTGAGATAAATTGACGTGAATATAAATATATATGTACTAAACACATTTTAAACAATTGAATTTTATTTTCTTATTTATTATAATCAACTCTGTTCATTCTACACAAATGTACGTATATATGATAAATAACAATATAATTAATTTAGTGGAAATTCTTCTTACCCTGTTGGTATAAATTTCGGAAGCACGATGACTCGATGAGCTTCGACTAAATGTACCATTTTATTAAAAATATCAGATTCTTTAAATTGATCGCAAATGTCACATTTCTTAATTATATCAAGTCGCTGGTTTACCCAGATTTTGAGTTTATTAGCTATATTTTCGTTAAGCTCATGTCTACTTGTCAAGTGTTTTTGCACATTCGTACTTGGATTCAAGAATGGCATATAAATTTGAGAACAATAATTACATTTTACTCCGTTGATTTCAATAAAAGTAAAGTTATGTTTTTCTAATGGATTATATGAACGAGGATGTGAAGTTGACCCATGCGCAATAATACTGAATCGGTGTGCAATGATATATTCCTTGTTGCAAATATTACATATTTCATTCTCCGTATCACTTCTCAAATAATACCACATCCATGTACAATCCTTTAAACTGTATAAAATAAAAAATACAAATTGTAAGAAATAATTAGTATTGTAATGTTTGCTTGTTGAGTAATGTGTACAGTATAATAAATAAATATTCACATGCGACCATTTTTGACCGGTTATTTTATATTATAAACACTAATTCACAATTTATACTAAAGTAAATACTTAATTAAATAAATTGTTACAAATTACCGATTTTACAGAAATACAACAGAGCAAATTTGGTCGAACGTATATTTCAATATAAAATATTAACTAACTCAGACAAATTGACGTGAATTTAAATAAATATGTAATAAACACATTCCTAATGATTGAATTTTATTATCTTATTTATTATAAACAATTCTGTTCATTGCACACAAATGTACGTATTAATGATAAATAACAATATAATTAATTTATTGGAAATTCTTCTTACCCTGTTGATATAAATTTCGGAAGCACGATGACACGATGAGCTTGGACTAAATGTATCATTTTATTAAAAATATCAGATTCTTTAAATTGATCGCAAGATTCGCATTTCTTAATTAAAAGAAGTTGGTCGTTTACCCAGATTTTGAGTTCATTAGCTATATCTTTGTTAAGCTTATGTTTTTTTGTCAGGTGATAGTGAGAACTAGTATATGCCTTATTACATATATTGCATATGTCATACTCCGTACTCTCATCTCTTCTCAAATAATACCACATCCATCTATTGTTTATGGAGCTATATAAAATAAAAAATACAAATTGCTGGAATAATTAATATTGTAATGTTTGATTGTTGAATAATGTGTACAATGTATAATTCCTGATAACAAATCGAAACTAATATTATTAATAAGATTTTATTATCTACTTAAACTTTAACTCCTTTATTTAAATTTAAATTTTCAGTATTTTTAAAAACGTAAAAGATTATCCAAATTTGAATATGTATACCTTATTAAAAATTTGAATTACACATGTGTTTATATCTATAAAGAATGTCACAAATTATCGATTATAAAATTTCTAAATATAATAACATGCAAATTTATATTATTAAAAAAAACAAATAGGAAGAGAGTCTGTATCTTCAAAAATATTAATTATAAAAATTAGTTAATTGGACTTAAAATATAATTTATAATCACATAAATATAATTTATAATCACATATAATTTATAAAATATAATTTATAATCACATAAATTACAAATAATTTCAAATAAAATAAAATGTACCGTCACATTTATTTTTAATAATGTTATGTTTATGTATTTTATTTATAAAAATTACATTAATTTTATATATTACTTTTATTGCAGTCAATGCAAATCGAATGAGTCCACTAATTATATAAAAAACAAAAAGATTCAATATTTGTTTAAATGTTATTAATACAGTCATTAACACAATACTTTTAAGAAATTGTTCTTGCATGACAAATAATAAATTTATATTTATATAATAATTTGGCGTGTCTTGAGCTCCAATAGTTAACACAACGAGAATTATGTATTATTTTGTTATATATACCTATTTTTAAATGTTCTTTCGTAAAATACGAAAATTGATGTTTTTTAAAAATGTGAAAATATCACAGAAATGAACAACCTTAACTATATTTTATTCTAGCATTATAATCAATTTGATAACTCAAAATTTGCGAATGTTAATAAAAAGTGCACTTAAAAATTTTTAAAGTTCAAAATTTTATATAATTATCCTCTCATCAATCCTCGCCAAATTCAATAATACCAATTATTCTTACGCATCCATATTTTATGTTAGGTTTAAAAATAAAAGAAAAACACTTTGTCGCATATAAAGCAGCAATTAAAAACAAATATTTATTACAATAAATAAAGTAAGTAAAATATTTAATTAATTTATTAATAGTAGGATGACTTGACATACACATTGGAGGAATCTGTAACCTACGAGAAATACATATCCATCTGGTGAACGAAGACTTTGCCAATACGTTCGGGCATGTGATTACAGCATTTGATATCTTAGCTATGGAGCATCATAATGCATGCCAGCCAATTTAGCATTTACCAATTGGTTCTCGAATGCAGCACTTGACGTGACAGAAGAATAATGAATTAAATATGCTGTGTGCCCGTTTTTACGCGTAAATAAACGAAGATTTGATCACATTTGTAAACTGTGAGATTGCATTATAAAAAGTGTAAAATTATTCTCAAATATTTCGAGTAAAGTCATCCGTTTATCGCGCAACTACTATATAAAAAAACATGTATGATTAGAGTACAAAGAATATTACACTTTCTATTGCAATCAAGAAAATATCATTGCCATTTATGATTATGTAATTGCAATGTCGCTTTTGCATTAGTTTTAAAAATTGATTATACAATTTATTATATGAATGTATAAAATCTAAAACATTTAATATACACGAAATTAAGAGAGCTTTACTTTTATTTAACAACTGGACACTTTATTTATATGTAGCAAAAGAAAAAGTCATATAGCGCTGCATATATTTTTCACTTTTCCCAATTTCTACGACTATGCATAACAGCTCGATTGATGGTAAAATATCAGAATGCTGTCCAATTAATTTTATTATATTTTTAATTTACTAAACAAAATACGTGTACATATATGAGTATATACATACATGGAATAATCATGTAAAATATACAATTATTTAATACATTTTCTTTACTATAAATAATTCAAAAACAAGTACGCATTAAGCGACGCGTAGAAAACGAACACAAAAAATATTATATTTGCTTAAATAAAATATTTTTGTTAATACAATACTTTTAAAGATCTAATTTTACAAAATTGATAATAAATTTGTGTTTTATAATGAGCAATTTCTTATAACAAAAACTAAAGTATTATAAGTATAAATAATTTAAAACGCAGTTGCCTGATAAGTAGTTGATTAACAAAAAATATGTTCGCAAAACAGTCATCATTATAATTTTGTACTATTTTGCTTTATGTTACATTAAAAAAGCATTGTAAATAATTATTCATAGAATGACATCGGATGACTTTTTTCTCCATTACATCCAAATAACTTATCCACTTCGATGTTATAAATAGAATCAATTTCCTCACTATCAGCAGAGGGTGCAATATCTTCAAAAATAATAGCAAAATATTTGATAATTTTCACAGAATTATAACAATAGCAATTACTGAATTAATCAATACCAATATAGATTCTTGTTTCTATAAGTATGTAAAATGTTTAATGTGTAAGACAACTATCATCCAAGTACAAATAATAAATAATTTTAAGAAAATATTTTTAAAAAGTATTTAAAAAAAATATGGAAAATAAAAATTTTGCTCTGTCGATGCTTGATATATAGATAATTAAAAAATTATGAGTTTGCAACACAATCGATACATTTATAAGTTTGTGTTATACCGCTTTATGTTAAATCGAAAAAGAAGTCTAATAATTACGTATATAATCAGCCCAAATATCTTCTTCAGTAAACTCCACTGTCTCATCAGGATTTAAATCGGAACCCACATTCTCAACGTCAGTTCTCAAAGTACTACAAGTTGGCAGCTGATTGCTGCTAGACGTTGGAATATCTGCGGTGTTCCTATCACGATGAAAAAGATTGTATAATTTTTCTGATAATGTGCTAGAATAATTAACAGTACAATATTATGAATTAGTCAAAGTTATAAAATTTTGCTTGCATCATGAGCATAATGCATAATTATTGAATACAAACTATTCATATTAACTTTACGATTTTATTATATAAATACTTCACGCTGTCAGCTTGAAGTACACTCATATAAATGAAACATATATATATATATATATATAGTATTCAAATACGACAATCCTTGTTCGGTTCTTTAATATTATAAGTGTTGATTCACAATTTATATTAAAATAAATATTTAATTAAATATTTTAATGGACCGATTTATTTTAAGAATTCCCAACTGCAAAGCAGAGACATCTCATTTTAAATGTAGATAAAGTTGATCAGTTTTAAATTGGCAATTTTTAAATTTAATCAGCCGATTAAAATGCAGGACAGAGATGATATAATTGGCCCATAATCTCATAAATTGGTGTTACCTTTCCTTGACATCTGACATATACTTATCAGTATCACCATATGAGGAAAAGCTCGTTGATGGCGAAATATCTGAAAGATTGTGATAATCATCTACAATATTTGATATTTTTCACAGAATTATAACAATAACAATTACTGAATTAATAATCAATACCAATATAAATTCTTATTTATATGAATATGTAAAATGTTTTATGTGTATAATAACAATTAAATAATATTTAATTTTAAATAAAATATTTTCAAAAAATATTTAAAAATATTAAAAGAATAAAAATTTCGCTCGGTCGCTTAATATGAAGATATTTAAAAAATTATGAGCTTGCAACACAATCGATACATTTATAAGTTTGTGTTATATCGCTTGATGTTAAATAAAAAAAGAAGTGTTAATAATTACGCATATATTCAGTCCAATTATATTTTTCAGTAGACTCCACAGTCCTATCGGTATTTAAATCGGAATCAACATTCTCAACGTCAGTTCTCGAAGTATTACAAGTTGGCTGCTGATTGCTGCTTAACGTTGAACTATCTACATTGTTTCCATCACCATGAAAAAGATTGAGTACTATTTCTGTTACGCTGGAATAATTAACAGCACAATTCTATGAATTAGTTAAAGTTATTAAGTCTTGCTTGTATCATGTGCATAATGCATAGTTATTGAATAGACACTATTGATATTAACTTTACGATTTTATTATATAAACACTTCTCGCTGTCAACTTGAAGTACATTCATATAAATGAAACATATATATAAATAGTATTAACATACGACCATTTTTGACCGGTTATTTAATATTATGAAACCTGATTCACGTTTCAAACTAAAATACATATTTAATTAACTGAATTTTTACAAATTACAATTTCAAGAAATGCAACAGAGCAAATCTGGCTCGAAAGTATATTTTATTAAAATATTAACTAACTGAGATAAATTGACGTGAATATAAATATATATGTACTAAACACATTTTAAACAATTGAATTTTATTTTCTTATTTATTATAATCAACTCTGTTTATTCTACACAAATGTACTTATATATGATAAATAACAATATAATTAATTTATTGGAAATTCTTCTTACCCTGTTGGTATAAATTTCGGAAGCACGATGACTCGATGAGCTTCGACTAAATGTACCATTTTATTAAAAATATCAGATTCTTTAAATTGATCGCAAATGTCACATTTCTTAATTATATCAAGTTGCTGGTTTACCCAGATTTTGAGTTCATTAGCTATATTTTCGTTAAGCTCATGTTTACTTGTCAAGTGTTTTTGCATATTCGTACTTGGATTCAAGAATGGCATATAAATTTGAGAACAATAATTACATTTTACTCCATTGGTTTCAGTAGGAGTAGAGTTATTATGTATTTCTAAGCGATTATATAAATTAGGATGTGATTTTGACACATGCAAATTCATACTGCATCGGTGTGCAATGATATATTCTTTGTTGCAAATATTACATATTTCATTCTCCGTATCACTTCTCAAATAATACCACATCCATGTACAATCCTCTAAACTGTATAAAATAAAAAATACAAATTGTATGAAATAATTAATATTGTAATGTTTGCTTGTTGAGTAATGTGTACAGTATAATATATAAATATTCACATACGACCATTTTTGACCGGTTATTAACATTATAAACACTAATTCACAATTTGTACTAAACTAAATACTTAATTTAATAAATGATTATAAATTACCGATTACAGAAATACAACAGAGCAAATCTGGTCGAACGTATATTTCAATATAAAATATTAACTAACTCAGACAAATTGACGTGAATTTCAATATATATGTAATAAACACATTTTAAACAATTGAATTTTATTTTCTTATTTATTATAATCAACTCTGTTTATTCTACACAAATGTACGTATATATGATAAATAACAATATAATTAATTTATTGGAAATTCTTCTTACCCTGTTGGTATAAATTTCGGAAGCACGATGACTCGATGAGCTTCGACTAAATGTACCATTTTATTAAAAATATCAGATTCTTTAAATTGATCGCAAATGTCACATTTCTTAATTATATCAAGTTGCTGGTTTACCCAGATTTTGAGTTCATTAGCTATATTTTCGTTAAGCTCATGTTTACTTGTCAAGTGTTTTTGCATATTCGTACTTGGATTCAAGAATGGCATATAAATTTGAGAACAATAATTACATTTTACTCCATTGGTTTCAGTAGGAGTAAAGTTATTATGTTTTTCTAATGGATTATATGAACGAGGATGTGAAGTTGACCCATGCGCAATAATACTGAATCGGTGTGCAATGATATATTCCTTGTTGCAAATATTACATATTTCATTCTCCGTATCACTTCTCAAATAATACCACATCCATGTACAATCCTTTAAACTGTATAAAATAAAAAATACAAATTGTAAGAAATAATTAGTATTGTAATGTTTGCTTGTTGAGTAATGTGTACAGTATAATATATAAATATTCACATACGACCATTTTTGACCGGTTATTTTATATTATAAACACTAATTCACAATTTATACTAAAGTAAATACTTAATTAAATAAATTGTTACAAATTACCGATTACAGAAATACAACAGAGCAAATCTGGTCGAACGTATATTTCAATATACAATATTAACTAACTCAGACACAAATTGACATAAATTTAAATATATATGTAATAAACACATTCCTAATGATTGAATTTTATTATCTTATTTATTATAAACAATTCTGTTCATTGCACACAAATGTACGTATTAATGATAAATAACAATATAATTAATTTATTGGAAATTCTTCTTACTCTGTTGGTATAAATTTCGGAAGCACGATGACACGATGAGCTTGGACTAAATGTATCATTTTATTAAAAATATCAGATTCTTTAAATTGATCGCAAGATTCGCATTTCTTAATTAAAAGAAGTTGGTCGTTTACCCAGATTTTGAGTTCATTAGCTATATCTTTGTTAAGCTCATGTATATTTGTCAGGTGACTATGCATCTTCTTACTTGGATTCAAGAATGGCATATAAATTTGAGAACAATAATTACATTTTACTCCATTGGTTTCAGTAGGAGTAAAGTTATTATGTATTTCTAAGCGATTATATAAATTAGGATGTCTTGACACATGCAAATTCATACTGCATCGGTGTGCAATGATATAATCTTTGTTGCAAATATTACATATTTCATTCTCCGTATCACTTCTCAAATAATACCACATCCATGTACAATCCTTTAAACTGTATAAAATAAAAAATACAAATTGTAAGAAATAATTAGTATTGTAATGTTTGCTTGTTGAGTAATGTGTACAGTATAATATATAAATATTCACATACGACCATTTTTGACCGGTTATTTTATATTGTAAACACTAATTCACAATTTATACTAAAGTAAATACTTAATTAAATAAATTGTTACAAATTACCGATTACAGAAATACAACAGAGCAAATCTGGTCGAACGTATATTTCAATATAAAATATTAACTAACTCAGACAAATTGACGTGAATTTAAATATATATGTAATAAACACATTCCTAATGATTGAATTTTATTATCTTATTTATTATAAACAATTCTGTTCATTGCACACAAATGTACGTATTAATGATAAATAACAATATAATTAATTTATTGGAAATTCTTCTTACCCTGTTGGTATAAATTTCGGAAGCACGATGACACGATGAGCTTGGACTAAATGTATCATTTTATTAAAAATATCAGATTCTTTAAATTGATCGCAAGATTCGCATTCCTTAATTAAAAGAAGTTGGTCGTTTACCCAGATTTTGAGTTCATTAGCTATATCTTTGTTAAGCTTATGTTTTTTTGTCAGGTGTTTGTGAGAACGAGTACATGCTTTATTACATATATTGCATATGTCATACTCCGTACTCTCATCTCTTCTCAAATAATACCACATCCATCTATTGTTTATTGAGCTATATAAAATAAAAAATACAAATTGCTGGAATAATTAATATTGTAATGTTTGATTGTTGAATAATGTGTACAATGTATAATTCCTGATAACAAATCGAAACTAATATTATTAATAAGATTTTATTATCTACTTAAACTTTAACTCCTTTATTTAAATTTAAATTTTCAGTATTCTTAAAAACGTAAAAGATTATCCAAATTTGAATATGTATACCTTATTAAAAATTTGAATTACACATGTGTTTATATCTATAAAGAATGTCCCAAATTATCGATTATAGAATTTCTAAATATAATAACATGCAAATTTATATTATTAAAAAAAACAAATAGGAAGAGAGTCTGTATCTTCAAAAATATTAATTATAAAAATTAGTTAATTGGACTTCGTATTTTTGATTTGATCAGTAATATTATTTCGAAACATGTGATTTTTTTTGCACCATATATATATATATATATATTAATACTTTATAGTTACATATGTATATTATTGAATATATTATTATTATGTATATTATTATGTATATATATATTATTACTTTATAATTACTAAATTATTATGTATATTATTATGTATATTATTATGTATATAATATTAGCTATGTTTAAGTTAACTTAAATATTATAATATATTTGTGATAAAGACGTCCTAAATATTTGAAATCATGATTCTATTCTTTGTACATGATTTCACTATATCATCACTATGTAACATTTCTAGATTTTCAATTATATATTATTTTAAATTCGATGGATTTGATAAAAATGATCAGAAATATGTTGCCTTAATATTTTTCGATGTGATATATATGTAGGTCATTTTCACCATCTCCGATTATTTCAATCGACCGATTCAATTTAAGAATTTTTAGCTGGAAAGCACAGACCATTTTAAATGTAGATAGAGTTGATCGGTCTTAAAGTAGCAAATTTTTAATTTAATCAGTCGATTAAAATGCACGACATTAATGATATAATTGATCCATAATCTCATAAATTGGTATTACCTTTCATCGTTATCTGACTTATCTGCCATGTTGATTGCTCTGTAGATCGTGCACTTCTGTGGGTTCCAAAGAAATAATTATTTAAACGAAAAATATATGTGAAGAAATGTTGATAATAGAAAAAGGAGAGGTCACAGGAAGATGTATGATTCGTTCTAGAAATGTAAATATTGATATACAAATATTAAAACTGTCTAACGTGTTTCTCAATTTTGACGATTATACATAGCAATAATCTAGTACCGATAATTCCACAGTTTAGAAAACGATTTAAAGTATAATTTATAATCACATGAATTACAAATAATTTCAAATAAAATAAAATGTACCGTCACATTTATTTTTAATAATGTTATGTTTATGTATTTTATTTATAAAAATTGCATTAATTTTATATATTACTTTTATTGCAGTCAATGCAAATCGAATGAGTCCACTAATTATATAAAAAACAAAAAGATTTAATATTTGTTTAAATGTTATTAATACAGTCATTAACACAATACTTTTAAGAAATTGTTTTTGCATGACAAATAATAAATTTATATTTATATAATAATTTGGCGTGTCTTGAGCTCCAATAGTTAACACAACGAGAATTATGTATTATTTTGTTATATATACCTATTTTTAAATGTTTCTTTCGTAAAATACGAAAATTGATGTTTTTTAAAAATGTGAAAATATCACAGAAATGAACAACCTTAACAATATTTTATTCTAGCATTATAATCAATTTGATAACTCAAAATTTGCTTAGTTAAATAAAAAAAAGTATAATAATTACGTATATAATCAGCCCAAATATCTTCTTCAGTAAACTCCACTGTCTCATCAGGATTTAAATCGGAACCCACATTCTCAACGTCAGTTCTCAAAGTACTACAAGTTGGCAGATTGCTGATTGCTGCTAGACGTTGGAATATCTGCGGTGTTCTTATCACGATGAAAAAGATTGTATAATTTTTGTGATAATGTGCTAGAATAATTAACAGTACAATATTATGAATTAGTCAGTGTTATAAAGTCTTACTTGAATTATGTGCATAATGCATAATTATTGAATACAAACTATTAACATTAATTTAACGCTTTTATTGTATAAACACTTCTCGCTGTAAACTTGAAATACTCATATAAATGTAACATATATAAATATTATTAAAATGCAACAATTTTTGTCCGGTTATTAAATATTTAAAACCCTGATTCACAATTTATATTAAAATAAATATTTAATTAAATAAACTTGTACAAATTACAATTACAAGACATGCAACAGAGCAAAGCAGGTCCGAAAGTATATTTTAATAAAATATGAACTAACTAAAATAAATTGACGTAAATATAAATATATGTAATAAACACATTCTAAAAAATTGAATTTTATTTTCTTATTTATTATAAACAATTCTGTTCATTCTACACAAATGTACGCATAAATGATAAATAACTATATAATTAATTTATTGGAAATTCTTACTGTGTTGGTATAAATTTTGGAGGTACGATGACACGATGAGCTTCGAATAAATGTACCATTATATTAAAATATCAGATTTTTTAAATTGATTGCAAGATTCGCATTTCTCAATTAAAGGAAGTTGGACGTTTACCCAGGTTTTGAGTTTATTAGCTATATCTTCGTTAAGTTTATGTTTATTTGTCAGGTGATTTTGTGTATGCCTACTCGGATTTATAGATGCCATATAAGTTTTAGGACAATAATTACATATTATTCCGTTGTTTTGTGTTGGAGTACAGTGTTTTTCTAAATCTTTAATATGATGTCCTTTTGCAATATGGGTAAGCATGTTGGAATAGTGAGAACTAATATATACTATATTACATATATTGCATATTTCATACTCCGCATTTCTTCTCAAATAATACCACATCCATTCGTATTCTATTGAATTATATAAGATAAAAAACACAAATTGCTAGAATAAATTAATATTGTAATGTTTGCTTGTGGAATAATGTGTACAATGTACAATTACTGATAACAAATCAAAACTAATATTATTAAAAAGATCTTATTATTTATTTAAACTTTATCTGCTTCATTTAATCAATTTGATAACTCAAAATTTGCGAATGTTAATAAAAAGTGCACTTAAAAATTTTTAAAGTTTAAAATTTTATATAATTATTCCTCTCATCAATCCTCGCCAAATTCAATAATACCAATTATTCTTACGCATCCATATTTTATGTTAGGTTTAAAAATAAAATAAAAACACTTTGTCGCATATAAAGCAGCAATTAAAAACAATATTTATTACAATAAATAAAGTAAGTAAAATATTTAATTAATTTATTAATAGTAGGATGACTTGAGATACACATTGGAGGAATCTGTAACCTACGAGAAATACATATCCATCTGGTGAACGAAGACTTTGCCAATACGTTCGGGCATGTGATTACAGCATTTGATATCTTAGCTATGGAGCATCATTATGCATGCCAGCCAATTTAGCATTTACCAATGGGTTCTCGAATGCAGCACTTGACGTGACAGAAGAATAATGAATTAAATATGCTGTGTGCCCGTTTTTTTACGCGTAAATAAACGAATTTCAATCAATTTTATTACATTTGTAAATTGTGAGATTGCATTATAGAAAGTGTAAAATTATTCTCAAATATTTCGAATAAAGTCATTCGTTTATCGCGCAACTACTATATAAAAAAACATGTATGATAAGAGTACAAAGAATATTACACTTTATATCGCAATCAAGAAAATATCATTGCCATTTATGATTATGTAAATGCAATGTAGCTTTTGCATTAGTTTTAAAAATTTATTAAAACTATTTATTCTATGAATGTATAAAATCTAAAACATTTAGTATACACGAAATTATAAGAGAGCTTACTTGTATTTAACAACTACACACTTTTTTTATAATATATAGCGAAAGAAAAAGTTATATAGCGCGCGCTGCATATATTTTTCACTTTTCCCAATTTCTACAACGATTATGCATAACAGCTCGATTGATGGTAGAATATCAGAATGCTGTCCAATTAATTTTAGTGTATTTTTAATTTACTAAACGAAATACGTGTACATACTTGGGTGTATACATACATGGAATAATCATGTAAAATATACAATTATTTAATTCATTATCTTTACTATAATAATTCAAAAACAAGTACACGCATTAAGCGACGTGTTGAAAACAAACACAAAAAATATTATATTTGCTTAAATAAAATATTTTTGTTAATACAATACTTTTAAAGATCTAATTTTACAAAATTAATAATAAATTTGTGTTTTATAATGAGCAATGTCTTATAACAAAAAGCAAAGTATTATAAGTATAAATAATTTAAAACGCAGTTGTCTGATAAGTAGTTAATTAACAAAAAATTTGTTCGCAAAACAGTCATTATTATAATTTCGTACTATTTCGCTTTATGTTACATTAAAAAGCATTGTAAATAATTATTTATAGGATGACATCGGATGACTTTTTTCTCCACTACATTCAAATAACTTATCCACTTCGATGTTATAAATAGAATCAATTCCTCACTATCAGCAAAGGGTGCAATATCTTCACAAATATTAGCAAAATATTTGATAATTTTCACAGAATTATAACAATCCCCAGTTACTGAATTTATCAATACCAATATAGATTCTTGTTTCTATAAGTATGTAAAATGTTTAATGTGTAAGACAACTATCATCCAAGTACAAATAATAAATAATTTTAAGAAAATATTTTTAAAAAGTATTTAAAAAAAATATGGAAAATAAAAATTTTGCTCTGTCGATGCTTGATATATAGATAATTAAAAAATTATGAATTTGCAACACAATCGATACATTTATAAGTTTGTGTTATACCGCTTTGTTAAATCAAAAAAGAAGTCTAATAATTACGTATATAATCAGCCCAATTATCTTCTTCAGTAGAGTCCACTGACCTATCAGGATTTAATCGGAACCAAAATTCTAAACGTTAGCTCTCGAAGTACTACAAGTTTGCTGCTAATTGCTGCTAACGTTGGAATATCAGCACGATGAACGTGATATTATGCTGCATAATTAACAGTACTATGCGTCAAAGTTATATGAATTGTCTTCTAATAAATGAAAAAAATAAATTTAAACTATTAAGAAGATATAATTTCAGTAATATCACATTGCTATGCATACAATATACATAAAGAATCTAATGCATATATTTATACATAAAGTCATGCACATAAAGTATCATGTGCATAAAGACTACAAGAAATAACACAGAGCAAATCTGGTCGAACGTATATATTTCAATATAATATATTAATTAACAAAGATAAATTGACGTAAATATAAATATATGTAATAAACACATTCTTAAAGTTAAAATTTTATTTTTTTATTTATTAGAAACAATTCTGTTTATTGTACACATATGTACGAATAAACGATAAAAAACAATATAAAAAATTTATCGGAAATTCTTCTTACCCTGTTGGTATAAATTCTGGAAGTACAGTGACATCATAAATTCTTTGTAAATGTACCATTACATTGAAAATATCAAATTTCTCAAATTGTTCGCAAGTCTCATATTTCTTAATTATATCAAGTTGCTGATTTACCCAGATTTTGAGTTCATTAGCTATATTTTCGTTAAGTTCATGCTTATCCTTAATGTGACGTTGCATATTACAATTTTGACGAAAGGATGGCTTATAAATTTGCAGACAAGAATTACATTTTATTTCGTTGATCTCTATTGTAGAAAAAGGTGTCTCTTCCGATTTGTTATGAATATCAGGATATGTTTTTTTTACATATGTACTTTCATATATAGAATGTGAGTCGAACAATAATATTTCTTATCACAAATATTACATATATTTCATACTCCGTATTTCTTCTCAAATAATACCACATCCATCTATATTTTATTGAGCTATATAACATAAAATATACAAATTGCTGGAATAATTAATATTTTAATGTTTGCTTGTTGAATAATGTGTACAATGTATAATTACTGATAACAAATCAAAACTAATATTATTAATAAGATCTTATTATCTATTTAAACTTTATCCCCTTCATTTAAATTTAACTTTCAATATTTTTAAAAACATGAAAATTTACCAACTACGAATATCTGTATCTTTAAATTAAATTGTACATTTGTTTATACCTACAAAGATTGTCACAAATTATCGATTATAAAAATCCTAAATATAATAAGACGAAAGTTTATATTATAACGACAAATAATAAACACAAATAGAAAGATAGCCAATATCTTCAAGGATATTAATTGTAGAACTCATGTTAATTAAACATTGTTTTCTTGTTTTAATCAATAATATTATATCAAAATATGTGACCTTTTTCGCACGTTGTATATATATTTATACTTAACTTTATGAGTATATTTATAAGTTAACTTAAATATTATAATATATTTGTGATAAAGACGTCTTAAATATTTGGAATCATGATTCTATTCGTTGTACATGATTTTACTAAGTGACCACTATGTACCTTTTTTAGATTTTCATTTATATTTTTTTCTATTTTCGATTGATTTGATAAAAATTATCACAATTATATTGCTTTATTATTGTATTTTTCTATGTGATATATAGGCCAATTTTACCATCTCCGATTATTTTAATTGATCGATTCAATTGAAGAATTTCCAACTGTAAATCACAGACATTCTATTTTAAATGTAGACAAAGTTGATGAGTTTTAAATTTGCAAATTTTAATTTAATCAGCCGATTAAAATGCATGACGACGGAGATGATATAATTGGCCCATAATTTCATAAACTGGTATTACCTTTTTTGGACATGTGACATATCTGCCATGTTGACTGTTCTGTAGATCGTGCATTACTGTGGATTATAAAGGAAAAATTATTTAAACGAAAAATATATATGTGAAAAAATGTTGATAATAGAAAAAGTATAGAGATTACGGGAAGATGTATGATTCGTTCTAAAAATGTATAAATATTAATACACAGATATTAAAACTGCCTAATGTGTTTTCCAATTTTCACGATTATATATAGTAATAATTCAGTGCGGATAATTTCACCGTTTAGGAAACAATTAAAAAGAATTATAATCACTTATATTAAAATATATAAGAATGTTAGAAACTTTTCAATTTATGAAGATTTTTTTTTATTCATCAAAGATTTTTTCTGTCAAAATATCGCGTTCTCGTTGTACATTAGATTCTTCGCCGGTACCATATCCATTTTTCCTACAGGAGATCGACTTCTGCGTCCGAGAACTATCTTCGTAAAAACACTTCGAAATATGCTCTCGTTACTTTTTTTCATTCGCAACTCAAGGCGACGCCCGGGTTTTAGGTAGCACATTTTCGACGCGTTTCGGTAAAACGCGAAAATATGCGAGAGTTTATTCGCACGCGAATGAAACCGATGCTCCATTTTCGCGTCACCGCTTTTTTCAAGACTCTCTTATCGAAGGATATTCCCGAACCTCATTATATATTATATTCCATATTCGTCACGTCACTATATTTTATATTTCACTTATTCCAGAATTAGCCACTACATTTCACTATATTTTATCTTTCACTGAACATTCAGCGAAGAAATCGCGAATATCGCGCATGAACCTCGCCGATTTATCAGCGCGTATTTCTATCAAAAAGTTTTTAATTACATGTTAAAAGGCTGAATGTGTTCCTGAAATTAACGGTCCTTTTTATATTCTAAATTTGGAATTATATATTTCTCTAAATATTTAAGGTAATTAAAATTTTTGTTTAATTGTGTTATTGTTATAAAATTTATTTGAAAAGAACTTTTATTATATAAGAGCACGTTATTAACTTACATTATTAAACAGCTAATAATTTTAGTTATATTGCCTGCTCTTTCAACTTTAATTTTTGTTTTTTAAAAGCATAAATATTTACGCAAATATTTTAATAACTTTATTGAATATATACATATGTTAAATATCCAAAAATGTTGTATGTGTTTAGATGATTACATACTTTACACAACAATTACAATACTTGCTTCTATCTGCTAATTGGAAAAATTTTAGCGTTAAAAAATGTGGCATTTTGTTTCATTAATTTTACTACAGAAACAGAGAGCTAGAAAGACTGCTTTCATATTTTTCGAAATATGTATATAAATTTGTAAATGATGCATAATTTATTTGATTAATTGAACAAAATTTGAATATGTTTAATTGAGACAACTGTTAAACACAAATGCCGACACACACACACACACACACACACACATACACACAAATATACAGGGTGTTCGGCAACAGGTGGGCCAAAATGTAAGGAGTGGTTCTACATGATAAAATGAGACGAAAATCAAGAATGACAAAATTGCGTCCGAGACTTCGTTTATTAATTATAAATATTTTAAACTTCGCATTAAGGGTGCCTGACGCACGGCAATTTTCCGATATTTCGCGTGCGTAAGATACATCGGTAGAGTCGCCGTCAAAATACACTGTGACGCATAAGTATACAAAAACTTACATCGTAACAGTTGATGTATATTTTGCAAAGTGTAAAATATTTATAATTAATAAACGAAGTTTCGAACGCAATTTTGTCATTCTTGATTTTCGTCTAATTTTATCATGTAGAACCACTCCTTACATTTTGGCCCACCTGTTGCCGAACACCCTGTATATATATATATATATATATATATATATAACGACCTGAGAAATTTTGTTGACATCATATTTATCATGATGACACGTATCGAGACTCAGTCAGTCTTTCGTCGTCTTTCGAACCATATCTCGTGATAGATATAATGCTTGTAATAAAGTGTATGTGAATATATTATATGCTTTCAACATTGCGTAGTGCTAGAGTATTAATTTGAACAGGTAATTTTTAAAAAATATAATTTATATATTATATAAATATACTTTTGCAACTAACATACGGTTCTGAAATATTGGGTAAGTCAAAATATTAAAACATATATTTGTCTACACACAAGTATACTATAAATATAGTATATAATATACTATACTGTACTATATAATATAATATACTATAAATCTTTATATTTTAAATAATATTCTATAAATTTTATATGTATATAACTTTTTCACGATGAGATTAGTGATTTAAAGAAAATATAAAATATGTTGTAAATTTAATATATTTATATTGCTATCAATTACAATATCTAAGACACTGAAATATATATATATATACAGGGTGTCCGGTAATTCGCGCCCACGGAGTACATAGCGATATTCCTCATGGAAAACTGAGTCAAAAAGTTCTGAGCCATTTTTTTCTATAATGCATAATAATTTTTATAATTAACGATAGAAAAAGGCATGTCAAAGGCGCGCGCAAAAGAATAGCGTCTTGCCATAAGCATAGTGCCTTGCATAGTGTGCTCACGCACATCGCTACACGCGCGGTTTACCATTATTAGTAATAATGATTAGTGTTATTATGGCTTAACATTATTAGTAATTACGGCTTTGTTATGCATTATAGAAAAAAATGGCTCAGGACTTTTTGACTCAGTTTTCCATGAGGAATATCGCTATGTACTCCGTGGGCGCGAATTACCGGACACCCAGTATATATACAAAGTGTCTGACGTAAAGTGTAACCCGAAAATATACAAGTAGATCTCGGTATTTGGAGATGATTGTTCCACAGCAAAAATGTCGAGGAAGGCCATCATTTTTTGGATGTTCCCAATTTTTACCATCATGTATCTTTATAACTGAGCTTTAAATTAGAATTTTATTAAAGTATATAAACTCTACTTGAAATTAATTGGAGAATGTGGTTTAGTTAATATTTTATTTTCACAAGGCTTAGTTTGCAAAAAACCTTTTATTTTCAATCGCTTATAACTCGAAAATTATTAATGCTTCTATATTTATGCCGAGGATAAATCATCTCCAAATAACGAGATCTACTGATATATTTTCGGTGTGACAGTTTACGTCAGACCCTGTATATATGTATTGTGACAATTACATCGTCACATGCATCCCGAAAATTAGCGATCGAAAACACTTATATGAATACGGCCACACACATGCAAAAAGTACCGCGAGACACAAATAAATATAAATAATTTAATTAGTAAAGTCTTTTAACTTAATTTATAAAGCCTTTTCGTTACCGGTGAATATACCGCATATTTATACGTAATTAACGTCTCTCTTTATTTCAATTCCTGACTCGCATCGTCCGAATAATAATTCTTCTACGGCAGTTAAAGTATATAATTTTATTTTAAAAAATTGTGCAAATGGAAGTTTGCATATTACTTTCTCACCATATAATATTTTGCTAATTAGGATGGTATCTCAAATAATAATTTTAATACTTTTTGTATTTATTTTTTGTTTATATATAATAATCATTAAAAATGACATCTAATATTTAATTTCTTTGTTTCTTCGTCCAGAGTGCTTTACAGATCTGAAATAAATATTCCTTTTCTCCGACATGATAATATTTCTAAAACTATTAATAAGTAGCGGATTAATTTTTATCGCTACGACGGCTTCCACTCGTAATACATCTTTATGCTACCAAAAATCAAAATATGTAATACCAATGCATTACGATATTGAGTTTACATCATATATGGAAGCAAAAATATTCTATGGGGAATACAATATCAACATAAACATTCTTAATAGAACGCAACACATATATTTACATTCGGAACAAATAAATATTACATATATAGTTCTAATTACAAATTTTAAAAGAGATAATAAGACTGGTAAAGATATAATTTATAAACCGACATATGATACTGAAGAAGACCCAATTAATATTTTCTTTAAGAATAAGTTATCACCAGGAAATTACACTTTAAAAATAAAATATTTTGGCTTTGCTGACAATGTCTTCAGAATTTTCGACATGGAAGAAAAAACTACGTAAGTAAATAATAAATATTTATTAAAAAGAGTACACAATTGCATAAGACATTGTAATTAATATACTATTTATGTATTAAATGTCCCAAAAATTATTATATATCGCGGAATTTAAATCTGTAAGAGTGAACTATCTTTGCCTTTATTATTATAATAATATGTAATATAGTCATAAAATATAATATGTGTTGACGCATATCACATTTATACATTATTTAATTCCCAATATTTTTATGCTTGTAAAGAAAGTTTCATTAATTTATGTTCTTTGAAATGTCGTAGTTGGATAGGTGCTCCGCATTTCCAGATAATAGGCCCCCAACCATTGTTTTCACATGAATGTTTGCATCTACATGATTTAGGGTTAAAAGCAACCTTTACCATTTCTATAAGATGTAAGCGATGCACGGCTTTGTCAAGTATGCCATTGCAAAAAACGGACATGAGTGAGCACAATATGTTATGGTTACACTTCGATACCTCACCTATAACGTGGACTGATCACGCAACAATGATTGTGTCTAATTACTTATTCCGTGATTATAAAACTCGAAACATTAAAATGTGGTGCAGATTTAATACTAAATATCACATGGAATTTGCAAAATATGTAGCTGAAAAGATCACGTCGTTTTTTAAAAATGAATGGAAACATTCGGACTATACTTCGATAGTGTCTCATATTGCAATTCCAAATTTCCATGACAGAAGCACATATTTCGGACTTGTTCTTTATAGGTGAGTACTTAATAGTGAATACTTAATATTTCATTAAGATTAAAATTATATTAGCATAAAAATTTATCAAATTTAAAAACTTGTATATCTTTCGTTTCTGTACATTCGAAAGTATAAGAAATTGTGAAAACAAACAATTTTAAGGAATTAAGTTTATTCGTATAATTCAAAAAGTTGAAGTTTATCGTTTCACTATACATACATAAATGGGAAAGTTTTTATGCTAACTCGTATCCTTATAAAGTAAATGTTAAAATAGTAACAAAGGTATAAAAGAAATGACATTTTTTTATTCATTTAAAACTATATATAGTTCTTCATCAATGATATACGCATTAACACAAAATCACTGCTTCATATTTAAATTAAAAATTAAAGAGAATATTATTAAATATAATTAAGTTCTCAGTCTTAACATATAACTTTCAGGGAAACAGATATCGTCTACGTTAAAAATATATATCCTATTGCTCGCAAGATTGAAGTAGCTCAATTAGTAGGACGTAAAGTAACACAGCAATGGTTTAATAACATAATGAACAATGCGTTAGTGTCGGATTTTTGGTTTAAAAATGGTCTTATTACATTGCTTGCAATGCATGTTATCAATAAGGTCAGTTTAAATATTTTCAACGCTATCTCGCTCCAAATTTCTTGCAAGATTTTCTTAAATCAAACCCTTCTTACAAAACGCATTCTATACGCATTCTTTGTGAATTGTCTTAAAAACATTATATAAAATAATCAACTGTTTTTTTTTAAATACTGTTTTCACGTATTTACATACATATAATCATAATTTAGTTTATTTGTTAGATTGTTAAATATTTTTTAATTGTTATAAAATCTAAAATAAAATAAATTAATTAAAAACTAGTACACATGATACTTATTTAAATACACATGATAAAGAGAAGTGTGCAATATAATATCATGAGACAATAATTTAAAAAACATATGTAATATTTGTTAATTATATTAATACAAAATTTTAGATTTTATTATTATATATATTTTAATGTTTGTTTTTAAAATGAGAAAGTGTTTTGTTTTAATAATGAACGTTAATAATATTAGTATTTGTATTTAATGCAAGTATCTTTAGAACGGTTATATCGATATATTAATTATTTTTTTTCTACAGGCATATCCAAATTATCGAATAATAAATTTATTTGTTGTTCAAAATCAACATTATTCTTTTAATTTGGATAGTGATTATCATATGTGGAATTTTACTTCACAAGTTAACAGTTCATTGGAAATCCCCAAGTCTATCAGAGGTACGTAATATAATAAAATAGTCCGTATAATTTTATAACTCTTTATCTACATTTTAATTAAATTTTGTTTTCATAAAAGTACACACACACACACACACACACACGTATGTACATACATATGTGCGTATTTATGCATATTCTTTACAAATAAACATTATAGTAAATATATATTTATAATATATCAAATTTATAATTTTGATGTAAATCGTAGCACCCTTTATACTGCGCATGATGCAACACGTTTTCACCGAAGAAATATTTTGGAAAGGCATTCGCTCATATGTAAATACCATGTGAGTAATTCAATATAAAATATAATATCAAAAAATTAAAATTGTGTAACAAAAATAATGCTTAATAATAGAAATGTTATAAAATGTCTTTTACTTTTTGGCTTCTTCTGACATTGTTTCTGAATCTTTCTTTTAGTCTAACAATATTCCGCTATTTTCCTAGATCTGCTACTAAATTTATTTTTAATTTCATTAATTTTTTTATAAAAACCGTTTCTGCAGAAAGAAATTGTTGTTTTATTGTTGTCTCTTTTTATATACATACACAATGTTGTTTTATTTTTGTTTCATAATTTGTAATTTTCAAAATAATTTTTATTTTTTTCTTATTATTTCCTTTATTTCTTTATATCGTCTATAATTCTTATAATTTCTTTTCTTTTAATTGCATTTTGTGCTACGTTTGTTTTTAAAACAAATGTTTTTATTCTTGTTTTCGTTTTGTCTTCAACTTCTTTGTTTTATTTCTTCTTTTAATCATTTTATAACTCTCTCAATACTTTACTGAAATTTGATCTATATTAATGATAATAATGCCTAAAAAATTTAATAAAATAATTAAATTTTAATTAAAATTATGTTATATTCTTTATTATCATAATATAAATATAAGATACATAAATGGAAGTGCAATTTTATATTTTGTTTCTTAGTATTTATTAAAATTTTGTATAATATTAACATTATACATTAACATTATTAATTTTAACATATTTGTAATGTATTTTTACATATTTAACATATATATATTTTACTGTGTGAATTTAGCCAATTTCATCGTGATAGTTTTGTGCATTTTTGGAGAGAAGTTGTTGATGCTGCAGAAAAAACAAATATTTCTCTAAAAACAATGAATTATTGGGATATGGAAAAGCATTGTCCTATCATAAAAGTAATACGAAATTATAATACAAACGAAGTAAATGTATCGATACAAAATATCGACACATTAAGGATTGACTGCCTTCCTGTAACTTTTTCTACGGAAGCGTCGGCCAATTTTAACAATTTTACTCATCATATGGTATGCGTGTCAAAGGATTTAAAATTATCATTACCATATAAAGAATTTGAATATAATTGGATAATATTCAATATACAACAAATTGGTAAATATCGAACAATAGATTTATTATGACTTTTATCTCGTCTACATTTTACACACACATAATTGACATTATTTTATATTTTTATCCATTTTATTTATTGCTCTATAAAAATCTGAGATATTCATGTATATAACAGTTTTAAAATGTTTTGTGTAATTCTCTGCATTATTATACATATATAATTAAAATATAAATCAGCGTTTTATTTATAATATCAATCAATATTAAAGTTATATTTTTACAACTATTTTATTCTAATAATAATAAAAATGATAAAAAAGTTTATTATATTTATAAAATTAATATAATAATAAGTACAACTAAAATATACAATTTTCGTATAGCTACATGTTACTGCAATTTTATTGATTAATATAAAAGAATTATTACATAATTTATGCACAACTAGAATCAATTTTATTTTATGCTATACAGCAATATCTTGCACAGTTCTATTTTTCATTTATAATTAATGTTTTATATGTATATATGCAATTTATTTATATGTATTAAATTTTTGATTTGTTTCTAATTTATAATTTATATTAAAAAAAGTATGAAACCAAAATGTTTGAAAATAAATACATTATAATGATATAATTATTCAAAATAATAAATAATTTATAAAATTTATTTACTATTCGACAGGATATTATCGCGTGAACTATAATGATGAAAACTGGCGAAGAATTTCAAAATATCTATGCTATGTTGATTACACGAAAATACATGTTCTTAATCGTGCCCAAATTATAGATGATGCATTTCATTTTATGATAGCAGGCCAACTCCATTCAACTATATTTTTTCATCTCATATCATATTTGCATCTAGAAGAAGATTATATAGCTTGGTATCCTATGTTTAAAGCTCTGGAATACATGTATAGTAGTTTTCCCGCAGCCATGCTGGAAAGTGGTGTTTGGAACTTTAAGGTAAATAGTAATAGATTTCAACAAAACTGTTATATTTCAGATATTTGCACATACAGGGTGTTTCAGAAGGAAACGTACATACTGCAGAAGGTTGTAGTACGGACCATTTTGAGTACAAAAGTTTATATCAACATGCGTGAAGTTTTTAATAGCTGTGGAGTTACAGCCGTTTGAATGTTAAGTATCAACGAAATCTACCACAAATGAACAAGAGTATAAGGATGACTTATTTCTGCAAAAAACTTATAATAATTAATGACGACCACATGAAGAACTTACTGATGAAATTCGTGATTTACAATCAGTCAAATAATTCGCAACAGTTCAAAGTACATTTTCAAAAATCCCACCACCGACTTCAATGTACTTTTCAGTACTCTGTGCAACAGAATGTGTAGCTCGTCTGAAGTCGTTTTCAGGTTCTTTTATGCGAAAAAAAATGACCTGAATGCGAACAATCAATTCTTCTTTTGTGTTAATTTTTTTCTGTGCGTAACTGTGCACAGCTTCTTTAAACGTCAAACGGCTGTAACTCCACAGCTATTGAAAATTAACCACATTAGAATATGAACTATTTTACTCAAAATGGTTCATACTACAACCTCCTGAAGTATGTACCTTTCCTCCTGAAACACCCTGTATATACTCATTCATTAAAAAGTTTAAATACTCACAGTAAAATATATACCGCAACGATAAAATTTCACATACTATTAATTACATCGCAAATAAATGTGCAAACAAATTCAGTTTAATAATCACTCACGCGAAGAACAGGTCTCAAAGTGTATAATTTTCACTATAGTCAATCTTATTGATATATAACATTGTATATAACATTATTGAATATATAGCTAGGTGCTTAAAATCTTTGCCAATAAATTATAATTATAAATATTTCGCACTTTAATTATATTTTTGGGGAGGGCTCCAATTGGCTACAAAGTGATTGTCAACAACATCGATTGCGAATAGTCCATTTGCCAACAAAATAGTTTGCGCACAAATAAAAAATTAAAAAGCAAATATATGTATTTACACACATAATATTATTATCTACAAACCGATTGCCTACAAGCTCTACTGCGCACAAAAAGAAATTAAAAGATAACATATATTTGCACACACGAATTATTGCACAAGCTGCACACATGATTGTATCAGCTAATGTTCCTTTTTTGAAAGTAATACTTCTTTTAGTATTTACAAAACACGTACAATTTCTAACTTCTAATAGTTTTTTGCATTTATATATGTCATAGGCAAATAGTTATTTTAGAAAAATTGCTTTTGACTAGACAAATGCAATCTGCCTGGTCAAATGGCTTTCCCCTGTTTATGTGTGTCCAAATGCTATTTTTTAGGCAAACTTTTTTAGGGAAATAGAAATAAATTTGGATATTGTTGCGAATAAGACTTAGGCTTAAGGCGCGAACGCAAAAATATTAATTAAACAGAGAAATAAATATTTAACGATTTTTAGAAATTTATAAGCAGCAAATTATACAATGTACTTGAACGAATCACATACGAAGAAAATGATGATAATGACGAACTTAGAAAATGTTTACGGCAAGAAGCTGCAAGATGGGCATGTTTTCTCGGTAACTACTATTGTAAGAAAGAAGCCAACAATAAATTAAAACAACATATTGAAGATCCTAAAACACACGGGTAAATATTGTTATATATATGTTTAGCCTTTCTTAATCAAATTTTCTTGTAGGTATCGTCTATAATATTCAAATGATTTTATCAAAAGGTTACATGTTAATTTTTAATAAGAACATTTAATTTTTATATTTTAGACTTTTGCCATGGTGGAAGGAATGGACATATTGTAACGGTTTGATGACAACTACCAAAAAAGAGACCACTTGGCAATCAGTGTATAATATAGGATTCAAAAAATCTGACACTAAATTTTTAGAATACCTGGCTTGCTCTGAAGATACTAATATCATCATCAACTATTTAAACCATACAATATACTATGAACAGTACAATTTTACAGAGAATGAATATCAATATCTTTTCAACAGTTTTTTACATATTTTTGCAAAGCATACAAAAAATCCAATTATACTAGAGTACATATTACATCATCTTGACGAAATAAAACCAAAGTAATGAGACATATTTTTATAAATATTGTGTACAAAAGTTTATTATGTGTAATATATATACATCTGTTATTGTTGTTTTTAGAAATGTTAATATAATTGCAGTATTAATTATTATTATCAATAACGTATATTCCAAAAATCGAACTGAGGTAAAAATTTTACATGTTTAAATATGTATACAAAATGTGATAATATTACGATATAAATAATTATTATTTAACGGTTAAAATAATTTTGATAATACAAAAATATTACATTTTAGCAAATATTAAGAAACATTAGAGATATTATAGAATATTACTTAATTGAATTGCATATCAAAGATAAATATTTTCGTAGAAGGAAGTATTACTATCAAATAAAGGAGGTAAATATAATTAAATATTATTATGGAAAGCAAAAGAAAAAAAAATTTTGTTTTAGCTTATCAATTTTTGAATATTATTTTTATATTTGTTTTATCTGTTTTATATAAAGTATGTTGATTTCATTGTGTAAATCTTTGTTTATTTTATATGCCCAGCTAACCATTTCTGCGGTGGCAAATGTAAGCAACAACTTTTGTTTTGTAAAATGGCCGCAGATAAGAAACATATTTTGTCATTACAAACACTGTGAGCATAAATTCAATAAATATTTCCCAACATCTGTTAGCAGACTATATTGACAAAGTGGCAATGAGTAGCAAGCAGATCTGTCGAAAGTGTTGACAACAGATTGATGCCAAAAATGCAGCAGATCCTTCAGATCTAGGATTTTTCTTCGATTTGTTAAGCATTTGGCGCAATAATCTGTCCTCAATTTACGATTGACAAATCTGTTCCCAGTCTGTTGCCAATCTGTCGTCGCACTGTTAGTGACAGATCTGCTCTGGCGTTGCACCCAACTTGATGTTAGGATATACTTTCAACTTTTGATTGCAATAATTGGAGCGCACTCGAGGACACAGTAGGCCCTGGATTTGCAGCCATATTTGGTCGTATTTTGTTTCCCGATTGTTAACAATTTCCAAGCAAATGGTTAGCTGGGTGTATATATTACATTTACATAATGCGAAATGAGATTACTATTTATTTAATTATATTACAATTAATAAAACGTTTGTTTTAGATGAGTAACTTTACGATAGATAAGGATTACTTGAAATTATATTACCAAATTATAGAACAAATTAAAATTCGGAACAAACAAATCGAAAGACAGAGTCAGTATATTGAAAGATTGTTCCACTAAATCTATGGATGTAAAAAAAATTGCAGCTTTGCATACGTGGACATACTATAAATAATTTTTTATATTGATTGTACTATTTTTTTTATTGCTTTAATTATTGATTATTTAGATGTGTTACTATCCGATGCCTCTGCATTTACAAAACTATGTGACTGCATGCATCAAATTTTTTCTTGCGATTTTGCTGAAAGTAGTTGAAACAAATGTATATTATTACCTGTGTAGTAGCAAGAAAGTGTAATAGCTATATAATATTATAATAAATTTTACTGTTTGATATAATATAATAATATAAATGTGCAAATATAAATATATAAATATGTTTGTTAAATGATAAATGCACCTATCTATTTATTTTGAATTATATATTGATTTGTTTTTACTTTTTTACTTTAATTAATAAAATTAGATGTTTGCGCGCGCGTACACACACACACACACACATTAAAGTATTATTTAATTATTATAAACATTTACAGCCAACATATTTATATTTATACGTACTATTAAATTTTAATTATTTAAATTATGTATGTATATAATTGTGTGTATGTGTGTATGTATAAGATAATAATATATTATAGATATATTATTACCGTGTATTATATATATAGAGTTCATATTATATATTAAATATATATCAATACATTACAATATTAATGAACATATGTATATATAAATTATGTTTGCATAACAATAAGAATTAGTGATATGTCAACGTTATATGTAAACTAATTTTAATTATATATGTGCTATAGGTTCAAAATTTAAATATTATTCACATTTAATATATTATTATATAAAATTTGTGATGGATCATTATCATTTATCATTTTTTAGTTTACAATAAATAAATAAATGAATAAATAAAATAAAAAAAATCTCTCTCTATCTCTCCCCCCCCCCTACGCTTTTCTTATGTAAATCAACATTATAATTTCATAAAATTATTTAAATAAAATATTAATTTTAATATTATTATTTATATAAATTTATATTATATAACTTTAAAATCGTGCAACATAATTCTGCGTGCCTTCCTAATTTTTTTAATAGACTTAAAAATACTGTAAGATTTGTCAATCTAAATTGTAACTCACAATTATATTTAAAAAGATATAAGCATATAGAAGATAAAAAGTACATATATACACATTCGCAATCAAGAGAATCGCATTGCGGTTTACAATTATAAATTAAACGTAACGTTTGCATTCTTTTTCTAAATATTTTAATGTAATTAAAACTTTTGTTTAATTGTGTTGTTATAAAATTTATTTGAAATATACTTTTATTATAAGAGCACGTTACTAACTTACATTATTAGACAGCTAATAATTTTAGTTATATACTGTTCTTCTATCTGCTCTTTCAACTTTAATTTTTTTTTTAAAAAAGCATAAATATATTTACGCAATTATTTTAACAACTATATTAAATATATACATATGTTAAATATCCAAAAAATATGTGCTTAAAAGTATTACATACTTTACACAACAATTACAAGCTTTTATATTCGCTAATTGGAAAAATTTTAGCGTTTAAAAAATGCGGCATTTTGTTTCATTAATTTTACTACTAAAAACAGAGAGCTAGAAAGACTGCTTTTATGTTTTTCGAAATAAGTGATATAAATTTCTCAATAATGCACAATTTATTTGATTAATTGAATGAAATTTCTCTCTATATATTGTACCTCTTCTTGAGCTTTCTAAAATAATTTATTAATGCAGATTACACGTAATCAAAATAATATTTGAAATATAAAATGTACAGTATTGTTACTATAAGAATATTTATATTAGAAAATACTATTTGTTTTTTATAATCTGAATTAAATTAACAAAATATTTTATACATTATAAAATAGAAAAATTATTTATTGTACTTATTTAAAAAATATATAAAAAAAAGTATTAAATTTTTTTAAGAAAATATATATTTAAAATATATTGTTGTGTAATACTCGAAAAAAATAGATGAGAGAAAGAGAAATCTATTCAGGTTTTGTTGACTAATTATCTACGTAATATAACATTTCTGCCATTCTCATTCGTCATTTCATTCTTATTTTGAGTTCGAGACACCGAAGCGTCGAGAAAGAAAATGTTCATTCTCAGAATAGCAGACGAAAAGAATTGACATCGGTAGAATTTTTGGACACTCGTTAAAATCGTTGCCCGAATGCCGCGTTATTAAAAATTAGAATTTAATTTAAAATTTAAGAATAAATTTTATATCACAAATTTAAGAGAAATTGAACAAAGGCAAATTAAAAAAGTTTTGAATTTGATCCTACTTAAATCTTCTGCATGCAATCGCGATTGTCTTGCAATCGCAAACTATACTTTTATTGTGAAATATCTGATTTGAATACAATATTGTATAACACTTTTGAATAAATATAATTAAACTGAATATATATTATGTAAAAAAAATCTGTATAATTATTTAAATGCAGATCACTAAAAATTTTTTTTTTCGGAAGGGAATTATATTGCAATGATTTCCCTTTTTTTAATTAACTAATATTAAAAACTACTAGGAAAAATAAAGCTAACCTAAAGAAAAGTAAACAAACCCCAGAAAAAATAATATTAGATTAGGAAAATTAAAACTAAAAAAAAATTAATTAAAATTATGTACGCAATAAAAATTCAGCGAATTAAAATTATTTGCATAAAAGAAATACGACAAATTAAAATTTTGTGCATAGTAGAAATTCAGCAAATTAAAATTATGCACATAATAGTAATTCGGTGAATTAAAATTATATACATAATAGAAATTCAATGACATAAACACAAAATTATGTGCGTAATAGAAACTCGGCAAATTAAAATAATATTCAGTTTAACCACAAATAGTAAAGCTGTAAAACGATTTGTTGTGATTGAAGTCGCGAAGCAAACGTCGAGACAACCCGAACCAGCATCGCGAAAAAGTGGCCTCAATACTTCGATTAAAATTAAATTTACTCAATTAACATGTCTTTTTTTAAAAAGAATACAGCAAAAAAAGGTCATATAGCGCTGCATATTTTACACTGCCAATTTCTACAACGAATATGTAACGGATCGATTGATAGAAAAGTATCAGATCGTTGTCCAATAAATTTTCGTGTATTTTTAATTTAATAAACAAAATACACATGTATACATTCAAGAATTATACGTATATTCCGTGTTTCGTTTACTTCTATCATTTGATTTGTTTCATTTCACTTTTCGTGTACGTTAACAATATAAGTTTATGTATGGCATAGATTGCATTATTAATAACGCAAACCTATAATTGAGTTAATGCGAATACCTACTACGCAGAGACAGACTTTGTATTTTACTATAACACAGTTTTATAGACCCAAAACAAATATAATGTGTTTTTCCTAATGTCGGACGGACAGTCACATGCGTATCCACATCCACGCACACGATTTTATATTTTCAGCAGTGGCGGATTATACACGAGGCGCATGAGGCGCACGCCTCAGGGCCCGGTCGCTGCGAGGGCCGGCTTGCAGCGTATACTGCTCGGTTGGTCCTCGGCGGCGGCACGGCGGCGGCGGCCGGTGGCGGCCGGCGGCCGATTCGTGCGTGCGCCGTGCATGTCACTTGTTAGTCGTGACTCGTGTGATCGTGTCTTGAAGCATTATTCAGAAACGGAAACGAAAGTACGTATACTATATAAATAAAGGAAGTTTAACTTTAATTAAAATTAACATTATTCATTCATATTATTTATTATTTTAGATTTAGACAAAATGAATTATAAACACGCTTCTGGTTTTGAAAAACGAAAAAAACGAAAAATTCTCGAAGAAGCAAAAAACAATTGCCAAAATAACAAACTTTTTTATGGCAAAAGATGAAGTACACGATGAAAATACATCAGATTCAGAAAAAGACGAAGGCGAAATGATCAACAAAACCAGTAAACATTTATTATTAGATGAAATTGGAGATTCTGGTTCTTTTATACCTGCATCGAGTGAGGCACATGAATTTATCGAGACTGATAGTAATAGAAACCGAAAGAAGAAAAGAGCGAAGCTAGTCTACAAATAGTACAAGAACCTCAAGAAGAAAAGAGCGAAGCTAGTCTACAACGAGTACAAGAACCTCAAGAAGAAAAGAGCGAAGCTAGTCTACAACGAGTACAAAAACCTCAAGAAGAAAAGAGCGAAGCTAGTCTACAACGAGTACAAGAATCTCAAGAAGAAAAAATAATAAATAGTAATGAAATTAAGAAGGTTCTCAAAGTGTCTGAATGGTCTGCTGAAATTATTAGGAATAATAAATTTATAGAAAGTATAGTTAAAAATAAGCCAAAGAGCGATACTATCGAAGATACGGGTAAAATATACAAAGATGGCAATCGTACTTACTATAGATGTTTAAAAGAATCCGATTTTTATCGCTTTAAACCAAATGGAGAAAAACTAAAAAGAGAATGGCTAATATATGATTCGCATAATAAATCTGTGTACTGTTATCCCTGCAAATTATTTTCGAAGGAAATTACATTTTTAAGTGATTCCGGCTATAATGATTGGAAAAATCTCACAAGAACACTTAAAAATCATGAGGAAACTAAATCTCATTTAAGCGCTATGGTAACATTAGCTACAAGATCATCTTTAGTCGGAACAGTAGACATAAAATTAAGGTACCAAATTCAGGAAGAAGAACAATACTGGGGAAAAGTCCTAAAGCGTATACTCGCCACAGTCAAATTATTATCCAGACAAGGTCTAGCTTTTCGGGGATCCGATGAAAATCTTGAAAGTCATTTCAGAGGCAATTATTTAAGTTGCTTAATATATCTTGCCGAATTCGACGATTTCTTAGCAGAACATCTATGCCGCTATGGAAATCAAGGAAAAGGTTCTACCAGTTATTTATCTCATCATATATGTGATGAATTTGTTCA